CTCTCTCTCTCTCTCTCTTTTTTCCCTTTCCCCTATGTTCATCTCTTTTGTTTCTTAAATTCCACATATAAAAGTGAAGTCATAGGGTATTTGTCTTTCTCTCAATGACTAATTACACTATATGTTGACTAACTGGAATTTAAATAAAAACTTGAAACAAAAAAAGAGAAGCATAATCTATGGGGGAAAAAAAGCAACTTTTCAAACTTTGTTGACCAATAGTAAAAGTATGATAAATACCATGAAAATATAGCAGATCAACTTTCTTTGAAAATTCCTTTATGCCTAGTTTACACTGGTGCATGGTGTTAGTTTTCATATTTTTCCAAATAAGTAATTTTACAACCATCTTAGATAAATAATGGAGCCCCCTTTTCCTGGACAAATTTCTTCCCTTTCTTTGAGCCAGTTATTTCTTCCTTCTCATCTTGGATCCTTGGATCCTTATGTATCTTCTCTCCTAAGAATGTCTTCTCAGGTATTGATCTTCTGTACTTCCTTTGGTGGCTTTCACTGCTATGTGGACAAAGTTCAGACCTCGCATCTTGAACTTGGAAGCTTTTTAACTTTGTTTTCCCAGTGGCCTAATTTCTTATACTTCGTATATATTGCTCAAAAAAATTTCTTTCTTTAATTTCACAAAATCTTGATTAAAATTTTCTTTGTTTTCTTTACCTTCCCAGTTTCTGATTCTTACTCAGAATTCCATCTTCTACAAAGAATAGTTTTCCTTCTTAATTTCATCAGTTATCCTTTTCTCATTTTTAAAAAATGTTCAAAATTCAATTTTAAGACTTTGCCCATCCACCTACCTCTGTATACTTATCTATCTATCTGTCCATGCACCATCTGTTTGACCAGTATTTATTGAATGCTGACTAATTCAAGGCACGTACTGTTACGTGTAAGTAGTTATAAAGGATTATAAGGCAGGTGTACTAAGTAGATATAGTAGTCTGTTTCTCAGAGTCAAAGTATGTATAGTAGAAAAATATAGGCATTTACTATATAGTGCACAGTGCTTTGATGGAGACAATGCAGAAGACCATGCTAGGCACCTTGAAGGATTTGGGAATCTTCTTGGAGGTTACCCAGGTGAAGGAATAGAGGGAATGCATAAAGTCATAGATAAGAGAGAGAGTATAGTGCAGTTGATGAAATGGAAATAGTCCAGCAGAGTTAGAACTCATAGCAGAAAGATGAAACCAGAAATGTCTGAAGAGGCTATATTAGAAGGACCTTGTGTATCAAGTTAAGTAGAGCTGACCCTCAAACATCATGGGGATAGGATCACTAGCCCCCTCCCCCGCAATGTAGTTAAAAGTCTATGTATAACTTTTGGCTCCCCCCAAATTTAACTATTAATGCTTACTGCTGACTAGAGCCTTAATGATAATATAATTTATTAACATATATTTCATGTGTTCTAATGTATAATAGATGGTATTCATACAATAAAATAAGCTAAAGAAAACAAAATTTTACTAAGAAAATAATAAGGGAGAGGAAATATATTTGTAGTATTTATAAGAAAAATCCATGCATAAGTATAGGGAGCCATTACAGTATTTTAACAAGGGAATGACAGTTTGCTGATTGTAGAATACATTGGTAGAGGATGAGACTAAGAGCTGGGAGGACCCGTTTGTGCTGGTTGCATGATGATAATTTGGTTAGGATAGTGGCTGTGGAAGTGGAGACTAAAGGAAAATCTGAGAATTAAAGAGTCAGTAAAATTTGATTCATGGGATGTTGGAGTAAGGAAGGAGGAGGAATAAAAAATGAGCCCCAAGTCTTTGGCTTGAGGACCTAAGTAGGTGGTGGTACCATTGCCAGAAACAGGGTACATCGATGGTGAGATGAGTTTGTGGGCAAGATGGTAAGGCCAGTTGAAATAGTAGAGATAGCAAACTCATATGTTTATAGTACAAATCTAAAGCTAGAATGCAGTAAGGCTGGGACTTCGAGTCTGATTCTCTGGAAGACCACAGTCCTTTGCAATACTGTACTGCCTCACATGTGAGCTGGCAGGGTTAGAGAGGGGGTGATGGCTTTGTGAGTCCTACCTGAACATGCATCTCCCTCCCTCCTTTAAAAAAAAATCTTTCCCGGGGCGCCTGGGTGGCTCAGTGGGTTAAGCCTCTGCCTTCGGCTCAGGTCATGGTCTCAGGGTCCTGGGATCGAGCCCCGCGTCGGGCTCTCTGCTCAGCGGAGAGCCTGCTTCCCTTCCTCTCTCTCTCTGCCTACCTCTCTGCCTACTTGTGATCTCTGTCTGTCAAATAACTAAATAAGATCTTTGAAAAAAAAAATCTTTCCTATTTAATCCATAGCTATGCTGCTTAGATTTATTTGAAATTTATTCTCTGTTACAATGATACTCATCTTTACTAAATATAATGTTTATATTCTCTAGGTCTTCAGACCTTTTAGGCAGACTTTTTAGCAACATTTTCTATTGCAACATCTGAAAAATTACAATTTGTTTCTTTAGTGATTTAGTGATTGCATAATTTTAATGAAAGGTAATTTCATTATTTCATGAAATTCATAATGTTATGAAATGTAATGAAGATGCCTCTGTATCTTCTCTTAGTGTTTTGTTGGAAGTGCTCTTATTTATTTTTTTTTAATTTTATTTTTTTTAATTTTATTTTTTATAAACATATAATATATTTTTATCCCCAGGGGTACAGGTCTGTGAATCGCCAGGTTTACACACTTCACAGCACTCACCATAGCACATACCCTCCCCAATGTCCATAATCCCAACCCCCCTCTCCCAACCCCCTTCCCCCCAGCAACCCTCAGTTTGTTTTGTGAGATTAAGAGTCACTTATGGTTTGTCTCCCTCCCAATCCCATCTTGTTTCATTTACTCTTCTCCTACCCCCTTAACCCCCCATGTTGCATCTCCTCTCCCTCATATCAGGGAGATCATATGATAGTTGCCTTTCTCTGATTGACTTATTTCGCTAAGCATGATACCCTCTAGTTCCATCCACGTCGTCGCAAATGGCAAGATTTCATTTCTTTTGATGGCTGCATAGTATTCCATTGTGTATATATACTACATCTTCTTTATCCATTCGTCTGTTGATGGACATCTAGGTTCTTTCCATAGTTTGGCTATTGTAGACATTGCTGCTATAAACATTCGGGTGCACATGCCCCTTCGGATCACTGGAAGTGCTCTTATTTTTGTTGTGCCCAAGAGAATGTTACTTCCTTGTGGGTACGCAACAAATATTAACTGAATTTTCAAAATGATTTTCATGGAAGAAGGAAATAGAAACGTTTTTAGGAGTTAGTGATGCCAGGCACTATTTCATTATTTTTTGAAACGAATGTTATCTTTTTATCATGCAAAATAAAAATTTTATTAAAATTGTCAAAATCTCAGGGATATCATCTAACACTCTTCTAGCACCGCTACTCTTAAAAAAAAAAAAAAAAAGCACAATGAAGTTTGTTAGGATCCAAATCCAAAAAAGATTTTTCTTTCTTTCTTTCTTTTTTTTTTTTTTTAAAGATTTTTATTTATTTATTTGACAGAATCACAAGCAGGCAGAGAGGCAGGCAGAGAGAGAGAGAGAGGAGGAAGCAGGCTCCCGCCGAGCAGAGAGCCCGATGTGGGGCTCAATCCCAGGACTCTGGGATCACGACCCGAGTCAGAGGCAGAGGCTTTAGCCCACTGAGCCACCCAGGTGCCCCCCAAAAAAGATTTTTCATTGTATACTTAGTTAATGTGTTCCAAGTGTGGCAAGCAGTGGAGTTTGACATTATCTCATTTCTAAAGGAGTTAGGTTTAAATAAAAGTCTTGAGAGCCCTTTGTCTCATTGGCTAATGCTTCCATGCTGTGCTGTGTCCAGATAGAGGGGACACTCCAGATTGGCCACCACACAGAGCATGTTAGCCAGCTAGGGCTGCCAACATAAGATACCACGGATGTTGTGGCTTAAACAACAAACGGATTTCTCTTAGTTCTGGAGGCTGGAAGTCCATGGTCAAGGTGCTGGCAGGGTTTGTTTGTTTGTTTTAAAAATTTTTATTTATTTACTTGACAGAGAGACAGAGCATGAGCAGTGGGGAGGAGGCAGAGGGAGAAGCAGACTCCATGCTGAGCAGGGAACCCAAAGTGGGGGTTGATTCCAGGATCCTGAGATCATGACATGAGCTGAATGCAGACGCTTAACTTAGTGAGCCACCCAGGTGCCCCAGGCAGGGTTACTCTCTAATGAGGCCTCTCTTCCTGGCTTGCAGATGGTCACCTTCTCCCTGTGTCCTTACACACTGTGGCCTTTCTTCTATGCTATTGCAGAGAGAAAGAGATGTCAATCCCTGATACCTATTTCTCTTCCTATTAGGACACTAGTCTTATGGGATTAGGACCCTACTCTTATGACCTCGTTTAACCTTAATTAGCTCTTTAAAGACCCCCTTTCCCCAAATATAGTCACGGGGGACTAGGGCTTCAACATATGAATTTTAGGGGGTGCAGTGAAGTCCATAATACAGAGATAATGGAGTGAAGGGGATTTTGAAGTATTTTGGCCTTTTGGGTTTTGTTCTAGCTGGGAATGAAGTATTCTGGAAGTAAAACACCTCACCCCCCAAGGAAATAGGGTAATTAATCATATTTTATATATTTACCATGTTAAGTGTTTAAAGTTGGGTAGGTTAACATGGCTGCAGCTAATCAATCTTGATTTTCCAAGCTGGGGCAGGCTGTCTTTTCAGGTAAAAACCTGCCCAGTGTGTTTGCGTATGTGTGCATGCATGTTAAGACAGAGAGGGGTGGGATTGCTCTTGCTATGGTGCCTGTTTCTCTAAGAGGAATCATGAACTGTAATCTTTGAAAACTGGTCTTACAGAGCAGTGAGCTATGAATGCATTTGTTTTGGGGCTTTTCATTTAAATGAGATTTGAATTTCCTTTTTAGAAAAATTGCTTCTAGATGGTCCTGGAAATTTTGGAAACCTATTTTGTTTCTTGTCCTCTAGTCATTTTGATAGGGCTATGGAAGAATGGAGACAGTTCCATTGTGACCTTAATGACCTCACACAGTGGATAACAGAGGCTGAAGAGTTATTGGCTGAAACCTTTGCTCCCGATGGTGGCCTGGACTTGGAGAAAGCCAGCATGCACCAGCAGGTGAGTGTTTTCAAAAGAGGATAGGGGTCTCTCAAGAGGTGCCATATTTCTTTAGTGTGCATCATTGCAGACAAATTTTGAAAGTAAGGGGCAAATATGTTACCTTTTCAGGAATACATGGATAACCTATAATTTTTGTTCCAGTTCTACTTTTCAAGTTCAGAAGTTGAAGAAACACTAGTATTTAGAGTCTTTATTCAGGACTTTAGAAATTTACATTAAACATGCTCTTCAGTGGTTAATGTAGAAAAAATGTTAATTTTTAAGATTTTATGTTTGGAATAACATTTGTTAAATTTTGTATGCAAGATTTTTTCAAGGACAGAAGGATATTTGCAGACCTCGTCTGTTTTCTGTACTTAAACACTAGGCATCTTACTTTTCTTTGTATAATTGATAATTCTCCTATAAGTAAATTATTCTTCAGCTGTGTCAGGTGAGTCTAATTCAGTTTTGGGAAATATAACACAATAACTAAATCAGTTCTGTTGATATTGGGTGATTAAAAATAATGATCAAGTGGCGCCTGGGTGGCTCAGTGGGTTAAAGCCTCTGCCTTCGGCTCAGGTCATGATCCCAGGGTCCTGGGATTGAGCCCCGCATTGGGCTAGCTGCTCAGCAGGGAGCCTTCTTCCCCCTCTCTCTCTGCCTGCCTCTCTGCCTACTTGTGATCTCTATCTGTCAAATAAATAAATGAAAACTCTAAAAAAAATGATCAAAAGCAAGCAAAATGTCAATTTACCATTGTTAAAAATATTTTTTATTAAGTCTTTAAAATATACTTTATGTAGAAAGTTCACAAGGAGTTAGAAAATTCTTTTATTTTTTTCATGAGCATGTTAATTTTTATGAATTTTATTTTTAGAGTTATAGATAAGTGCTTAAATTTGACTTTAAAATGTCCCTTTTTAGTTTGTTGCTTAAAAATTTACAGAGTCATGAAACAGTGTCTCAGTCAAATACACATTGAGGTTTACTTACATATGGTGGGACATAGGGTATGTGGGGGGTGTATACATATACATGTATTTAGAAATGCTTTCAAGCACATATTTGGAAGAAGAGAAACAATCCACTTTACTCAAACATAATTGATGCTTAGGTTTCAACGTGAACAACTGTTATTTGAGTTATTAGGCTCTCTTCTTCCATTGTATTTTGCCTGATGGTATTCATGAGAAGGGGTTAGAGTTCGAAATAGGTTTTATTTAGTGTGTTCATTGAGGTGTAGGTAAAGTGTTTTAAAATGCCCTTTTCATGAACAAAAAATGTTCTTCCAGACTTTGTTTCTCTAACACTTAATCTGGTGCCACAGGACCTTTGTGCATCTGTTGCATAGTTCCATTTAGTAGTGGAGTTCATCTTGAGTTGTACTCTGTTACAGGAACTCGAAGAGGGCATCAGCAGCCACCAGCCCAGTTTTGCAGCCCTAAACAGAACCGGGGATGAGATTTTACAGAAACTCTCCCCCACGGATGGAAGCTTCTTGAGAGACAAGCTGGCAGGTTTAAACCAGCGCTGGAGTGCGATCTTTGCAGAAGTGAAGGACCGGCAGCCAAGGTGATTTAGCTGTGTAACTTGAGGGCACGAGGATAAAGAGCTTCTGGCAGAGGCTTTTAAGATGCAGTCAGATGAGTTCAGAACTCTTCCATTGTCTGGTATCACGATAGGAGTTGTACTGACAGTTAAGACCACCACTGTGATGTTCTATGTTTTTTAAAATGTTGTCTCTTACTATATTTTTAGGCTACCTGTAAAGTGTCACTTTTCTACTCAGATGTCCTACAGTGTGAAAGATAGCTTTATTCCTCTCATTTCTGACGTTTTATTATGATACGGTGACCTTGTGGGGGGCACTTGAAGTCAATGGGGAGCAGTCTGGACTTGGGAGTCTGAAGATCTAGGCTCAGGGTCAGACTTTTCACTCATTCATTTCCTAACTGGGTCTTGGGGTGTTTCTCTGAAATCCCTCTTACGTGGTAGTTCTTTTTTTTTTTTTTTTTTTTTTAAAGATTTTATTTATTTGGGGCGCCTGGGTGGCTCAGTGGGTTAAGATTTTATTTATTTATTTGACAGAGAGAGATCACAAGTAGGCAGAGAGGCAGGCAGAGAGGTGGGGGGGAAGCAGGTTCCCCGCCTAGCAGAGAACCCGATGTGGGGCTTGACCCCAGGACCCTGTGATCATGACCTGAGCTGAAGTCAGAGGCTCAACCCTCTGAGCCGCCCAGGCGCCCCATGAATAATCTTCTTTTGAGGTTAATGGCAGTTTTGGGTTGAAAAGGCTCTAATCCCCCCCCCCCCCACTAATTTTAACTCTGTAGATGCTGTATGGATTTAGGGATAAGCTACTGTTTTATTAAAGACCAAATTAATATTTTATCAAGTCCAGTTTTTACAATTTAAATGTTCTACATAAATGGAACTATGAATATTTGGCCTATGGCAGCTTTTTATAAAATCACGTCGTCTGTTGTTCTTTGTGCTTTGGTAAGAGGCAAATAATGGTTTGTGCGTTTGGGTTGAGAGGTTGCTGTGTGGCAGAGACCGCGTTTGGCACCTGGCACACATCGTTTCATTTTATCCTCTCAGCTGCTCCGGGCAGCTTACACCCATTGTATAGCTTTTGAAACTGAGGCTCAGAGCGGTGATCTTAAGTAGCTTGTCCAAGTCTCACAGAAAGTTAGTGATGGCACAAACTTAGGCTCTCAAATACTGTGCTTGAACAGATTCAGCAAGACCACAGAGCTCTCTAGCCAAGTTTCCTGCTCTGTAAATAAGAACGGTGATACCCTCTCAGAGGTGTTATGAGGACTAAATGAGACAATGTTGGTAAAAAGGGTATTCCCAGACTATTCATAATAAACACTCAAAATATCTAGTTCTTACAATAGCGAGTTAAACTAAAACTTATTCTCTAAGCATGTTATTGCTGAATTTTGCCAATTGATTTTATCAATATTAATTGAGCTTTGTGTTTAGCCTTGGGGGGTTTAAGTGTGACTTAAGAACTCGGAGACAGATGAAAATGTTTAAAGGGACAAAGGATATGGTGTGATTAAAGAGAACATCATTAGGAAGATACAGTGTCGTCACAGAGGCAGGGGTGATGGGATATGGAATTTAAGCATCCCACGGGAGGAATCCTAAAACTGAGTTTTGAAGCACTTGTAACAATTTCCCATAAAGTCATCCTAGGGAGGGCCTTCTGGGGAAAAGAGTAGAACCGGCAAAGGTGGGAGGTATGAAGTAGCATGGCCATGTGAGAGATCTGCAAAGTTACATGGCACGAGGGCGGTTCAGGGGACCAGGGATGGGATTGGAAGCTGAGGTCCCATCGGGTTTTATGTGCCATGCTAATGAGTTTGCATGGAGAGTCCTTCTAGCTTGAGAATCATCTAGCTCCCAGGTCTTCTTAAGGAAAAAGATGTACCTGCTGGCATGGTTTTAACAATAATAGCAGAAATTCTTCTAAAGATTTTCAAATGGATCTCTGTGGAATGTGGTAGTTATTGCTCCCGGGACTAACAAGGTGAAGCTAATACATATTTTACTCATCTTGGGGATGAGATAAGAATAATGAATTGCTTCTCCAACATCTTATATTTTAACTAAAGCAATATTTATTTTCATAAATTTATGTTTAACTTCATTTCAGGTAGTAACTTATCTTAAATTGGGGCCACCTTGCAATTTTAAGAGTGTGTATGTGTACTGTTATCAGAGTCATTGAGGAATAGCACATAGTTTAATTTGTTTTTATATTGAGTGCCTGTAGTTAAATTTTTGCACAGTTCATCAACTCATGCTGTTATTCCTTAATGAGCAATTGTTATCTCCTGTTTGAACATAAATTTATAACTTGTTTTCACTCTTAGTGATAACATTTAAAATGTGGATTATATTTAGCTAGTTTACAGAATAAGATTTTGTGTGACTCAAATATGTCTTCTTGAAAACACTTTGATGTTAGTTTCCTTCATAGATATATTTTCAAAATATTGTTAGTCATGATTATGCAACACTGGAAATACAAATTACAACTTTTTTTTTTAAATACAAGGTTTATAGTACTATTACTATTGGGGTGCTTACAAAGTTGTTACTTAAGTTTATGAGTCTTCGATATAGAGGGTAAATTGCCTGTTTTGGTATTGTCAGTCTTTAACACTTAGTTCCGTTGCTTGCTTGCTTGATTGATTTTAATCTTGAAGCAGTGTTCTCTCTTGATGGATGCTTAAAAATGTGAACTTGTGATTTTGTAGTGATTTTCATTCATTTTTAACATTAGAATACTCTCTAAGTATTACTCTCTGTTAAATACACAAATATTTCTTTAGGATTTGATTATATTTATTGCATCATATGTTAGAGTTTTTTTGTGATTAAAAAGTCATAGCCATAAAAATATAAATTTTTTTTCAGGATGGCAAGATGCAATTCATTAAAAAATTGCATTCAATTTTTAAACTAGCAGCTAATGGCCACAAGTATAAAAATAACGATACCACCACCAAACTGTAAATAGCTTTCAAACCCTCTCTGAAAAATACATAATCTTGTTCATCATATGAGTTCCAGTCATATTCTCATCTTCTGACAGATGGTTTATATACTTATAAATGTTATTCTTTTAACATTTAAAAGATCTAATTAAGGCAGTTCCTTTTTTATATTCATATGACTATTTGTTTCCTTATATCCTTTAAAATTTTTGCTTTGTTTTTTCTAGATCTTTTTTTATAACTTGGTGCTATATTCAAATATAATACTTATTTTAACGAGCTAACCAAATTTTCATTTTTTCTTAGTCTTTCCTAATACTTGTAAAAATTTTCCATTCTCAGTATCTTGCCCTGTTCTTATTCTTTCTTTCCTATGAATAAAGTAGAGTAATAGTTGCCACCTAATGTGAATAATATGTCATATAATGATGACTTTTTATCTCCATCCACTACTCAAAGAGAATTATGTGTTTTTCCTTATTTTTTGAGATAAGGACATTTTTCTTTCTTTTTTTTTTTAACTTCCATTATGTTGTACAATGGTCTCTAGCTTTAAAAAAAATCTTTTATATTAAATTTCGGCAGAATTTTTCATCATGAGAGAAGATAATGTATATAGTTTCAATGTTTTTGAATTTAATGAAGGTAGAATTTTTATTCTCATATTATCAAAAAAAATCTTTGGTATTGCAGAAAGTACATGTTAGTATTAACACTCATTTAAAAATATATATTAAAATAATTACTAGGATTTTTTTACTGTGTGGTGTATTTAGTTGTGATATTCAAAGCAAATATATAACTGGATATATATATATATATATATATATATATATATAGCTGCCTAACTGGATAATTTTTGTCAATGTTTTTCAATAATATATTCTTTTAGGCTAAAAGGAGAAAGTAAGCAGGTGATGGAATATAGGAAAAGACTAGATGACATTATCTGTTGGTTAACAAAGGCCGAGAATGTTTTGCAAAAGAGATCAACCACTGAGCTGGAAGAAAACCTGCAAGAATTAACAGTAAGTGGTTTATTTGTTTCTGCATGCTTTTCAGTGCTTTTTGGTGCATGAACATTTACACTAAAAATAAGATATTGCATGACTGAAGAACAGGGTAAGAAATTTTGTGGTAAATGTGGTAAACTTTCAAGAGGAATTTTTTTTTTTTTTTCAAGATCAGCTATATATTTCATTCTTGCAGAGGTTAAGGTTTCACTCACAGAAAAGTGGTAAATTATGTAGTTTCAAGTATTAGACCGAAGATTCTTAGAATATTTTAAATAGACTTTGTCATTTTAGAATATAGTAGTACTGTGAAGTATAATTCTTTGCTTTTAGATTTAGAAGATAATTACTGATTACTAGGTTTAAAATAGAGTTTTACAAGAAAACTCTAAATGACTCAAGAGTAACTCACCTCAGCTTACTTCAGGCTTAGCATGATGCTTTTACTAATCAAATTTCCTGTGTTGATCCACAACCAACAAGAATTGTCTATATTTGTGTAGGTATACAATATATAAAAATACATAATGATGAGTATATGTACATGTATCCAAATATCCATATATTATTTATATCTATAAATTTTGTATTTTTTGTGTTAAGAATTAAAACACTGGTTGCAGAACAGTAAGATTAATGTCCTCATATTTTTACTAAAAAGAGGATTGAGGCAATATATAATAATGTATAATAATGTATAATATATAATGTATAAAAATGTATAATAATGATGAAAATATGTGGCAAACAATTACTAAGTTTTGTTTTCAAAATGTGACAAATACTTAGCAAACGTCTTCCTGTTTTATCTAAAAATTTCCATAGTTTTCTTGGAACATCCCATTTTGTAAACAATTTGGGGACAGTCACAAAGAGTGGGACAGTATATTAGGGTAGGCAGAGATAAGGTAGAGATGGGTGCCTAAAGTGTTCCTGTTTTTTTTGGTTTTTTTTGTTTTTTTTTTTTTTGCCTTTGATTAGAATGGATATTATTTTCATTATCTAAGAACAGTGTGTTAAAGTGTCAGTGTAAATATGATATAATATGAACCTGTTAAGAGAATGGGGTCAGGGGAGGGACCAGAGGGCAAATTCATACAAATGCACACTGAAAGTATATATTCGTTATCAGTTACAGTTTGTTAACGTAAGTTCAGGCTTCTTATAAGTTTATTTTCCAAGTAAAGTTAAAGACATTAGAAGTCCACATTCATAAGAATATTTCCCAAAGAGATTTCTGATACAGTTCTTGAACTTTTTCCAGTATGACAACTTTCTAACTGCAACTCTATTCTGACTCTTTTAGGACTTGACCCAGGAGATGGATGTACAAGCAGAAAAACTCAAATGGTTGAATAGAACTGAATTGGAAATGCTTTCAGATAAAAGTCTGAGTTTACATGAAAGAGAAAAAATTTCAGAAAGCTTAAGAACTATAAATTCGACATGGAATAAGGTATGCATTAAGAATTACTGTGATGACTTTCCATGGTTATTGATTTTGTTTTCAAAGGAGTGAGATCATGTAACTTTTGGTTTCATGTATACCCAAATTTGGACACATTTTACTAATGCTGACTAATGTTTGTAATTATTATTTTTTTCATCTGTCATGGAGAGAAACCTATATCCTCAGAGAATACTTTTTATTTTATGTGGGATATTTTGATCTGGGGATTTATATGTTACATAATATATTAAATAATGAATATATGTTAGAATAAGCCAATAAAATGCCATATAAAATTATAAAATTGTAAATTAAGAGTGTTAAAATAACACTCTGATGTTAGATATCACTTCTCACATATGTAGGTTTATTTTTAGTGATTTTATTCATTTAATGATTTTTAATTATTTATTTATTTTTAATGATTTATTCATTTATTCATATGTCTAGCATGTTCCAGGTGGAATGTAATAGCATGTGCTACAAATATGACTAAAATAAGGTCCTCTCCCTTGTGCCATTACCTTTTTTTGCATTTCAAACGATTTAATGCAGACAAAGTCATAGATTTCTATTTCTTTTGCCTTGGCAGATACCATATTAGAGTGTGCGGTCTGGCTGAGACATTGGATATGTCTCTATCTCTAGTTTGGATAGCTCCCTTCTCAGTCATTTTATTCCCTTCTCATCCCCTTGAAATGGTAGCCATCATTCTATATGTAATGAAGCAGATGCTTTATTGATCTAGACTCTCAAACTGAGAATTACTGTCTTGATGAGTCACTGTTACTAATGACTCACACATGTACATCTCTGGCCTTGACCTCTCTCCATACTCTAGACTTGCATGTACCATGGCCTGTTCAGCATGTCCCCTTGGCTGTGTAATAGGCATTTCAAACAACCCAAATCAACCTCCTGATTTCCACCTCCTCTCTGTGCTTTACTGTACTTCTACCTCAGTAGGAGGCTGGTAAATTGCTCATTATTGTAATCTTAGGTGAATCATATTTCAATTAAAAAAAAAAACTCCAGGGGTGCCTGGGTGGCTCAGTGGGTAAAAAGCCTCTGCCTTTGGCTCAGGTCATGATCTCAGGGTCCTGGGATCAAGCCCCACATCGGGCTCTCTGCTCAGCAGGGAGCCTGCTTCCTCCTCTCTCTCTCTCTCTGTCTCTCTCTGCCTGCCTCTCTGTCTACCTGTGATCTGTCAAATAAATAAATAAAAATCTTAAAACAAACAAACAAACAAAAACTCCAAAGCTTGGAATCATCATTGGCTTCTCATTCAAATACATGATCTATTTGCTGGATGATTTGATGGATGGCTGTATGGTTACGTATATGATAAAGCAAATACAGCAAAATTCTAACAATTGCTGATGTTAGGTGGCACATTGGGTATTCCCTGTATATTTTTTTCAGCTTTTTCAACTTTGTAGAATTTCCTAAGTTTGACTGCTTTTCACTATCCCCATTGCCACTAACTTGTTTTTAAGCTACTCTCATCTCCTGTCTTGATTACTGCCATGGACTCCTTATGGGTGTCCCTGCTTCCCTTTGCCCTTTGTCCATGCCGTCAAAGTATTTGTTAAAACATAATTCAGATCCAGTAACTCCTCTGAGCAAAGCCTGCTAATGGTTTCCCATCTCAGTAAGAGGAAAGGCTGAAGTCCTTAATGTGACTTTTTAGGCCCCTGATGTTCTGGCTTCCTGTTGTCTCCCTGACTTCATCTTCTCTTCTCTGTCCCTTACACCCCTATCCACACATGTTGGCCCTGTGTCAGATGTGCCAGACTCCTCTTGATTCAATCAGAACACACATCTTTTTTTAACCTAAAGGATGTCAGTAGACATTGTGTAGAATAGGGCACCCTGGCTAATTTGGGAACACCATGTTAGACAAAGCTAAAACTCCCTTTATCATAGGATTTCACGTAGATTGTAAGGTGAATTGTTAAGTGTCCAATATCGGACAATGCTTATTGTGCAGAGAATTTGGATAAATGCACATGCACTTTGGGAAATACTAATCTGGGGTATTTCATTCATTCATGCATTTATTCATTCAGTAGTTTTGGACTGGAGTCTTGCTTTATGCCAGGCACCATTTTGAGAACTAGGAATCCAGCAAAGAGTATGACACTGCTTCTAACCCGAAGAGTTTATCATGGGTGAGACAAGTAACCAAGCAATTGTAACATAGGGGCATCCACAGGGACGTAAAGGTAGAGAACCTATCTGGCTTTGGGAGGTAATCATGGAAGATTTTGTGGAGGACATCATATCCATGTGAATTTATAAAGAATGATTAAGTATGGGTCAGATGAAGAATGGGGCAAGGGGCATTGCAGAGAGAAGCAGCAGCCAGTGAAAGGGTCTAGAGGAGACTGAGAATGAGCATGGTGCATTTGGGTCCTAGAAGTAGCTCGATGTGAGGTGGAAGGACGAGGAAGGAAGATGCTTGCAGAGACCAGATCCTAGTGGCCTTCCCGTGCATCACAAGGAATTTGAGCTCCATCTTGAGAATGGTTCACCACCTTGAGAGCAGTGGACAGCTGCTGATGGGTTTTAAGCAGAAGAAAGTTACATTTTGAAAGATCACTATAGCTGCATAATAGAATGGAGGCAGCGATCCTAAAGATGGATAGCTTTAGGACATCAGGATATCAAGGAACTCTTCTGAGCAAAGACTACTATCCAGATCAGGAAAACTGATCTGAAAAGATCAATGAGAGTCATTAGACAACCTTGTGAAGGGGGTGTCAGGGAAATGGATGATGAATTCAGATTTGGCCATGTCTGAATATCCAGCTGACAGAATGAGCTGGGCTAGAGGTATATTTTTTGGAGTCTTCACACTCTTAAGACTCCATATGATAAATGAAACCATTAGAAACTAGGACCCAGGGAGAGAAGCCAGGGTCAAGGGTAAGAAGACCAAAAAACCTACCCTGTAGATTGTCAGTATTTGATGGATGGGTAGAGGAGAATGAGCTGATAAAGGATGCTTAGAAGATCAGTCAGAGAGGAAGGCATAAAGTCAGGATTGCAGAATATTCACAGTATCTCAGGGAGAGGGAGGAAGGGCATTTGGTGTTCCACAGGACTAGGACAGCTAAGGACTGGCTGGCACTCTTCACAGTAATGTCAGTGGAGGGGGTGGGCTCTGGGAAGACTGCAGTGAATATGAAGGTAGAGACAGAAGCTCAGGCGTTGAGGGGGAAGAAAAGCAGCAGAACTATCACTTAGAATAACACTTCCTCTTTCAAAAATACAGTCATCTTTATTTATATAGTATTCTTCTCTTTGTTTGGCCTGATGCTGTAGATATGCAGAGAAGTGCCTAGCACACTGAAGGAACGCATCCAGGAACCTTGTTCTGTGTCTCAGACAAGAATTGCTGGTAAGATACAGTTTACTTCTTCACAAAAAAATGTTTATAGCAAAATTTTTGATGATAAGCATAACGTGTCAGAAAAACTTATTTAAAAACATGATGCAATTGTGATTTATTATTCTGCTTTTCAATTATTTGAAATGAATTTTTTTTTAAAAAACACAGACATATTTTACCCCCCAGTGTGTGCAAGGCATTCCTTCTCATGGTAGCTAAGACTTCTCTCTTTCCTGGGCCTAGAGTGGGATCTGGGCCTCCTCCGAAGAGGCTGCTGAAGGCTAGGGGTTCCGCAAGGTTGGGGAGTGAAGGGATAGTCTTCTGGTGATGTGCTGTTTATCAGGGCATCAGCTATAACCTGCTAACATGTTCTGGGGTTGTGTTAATTAGACACTGATCATGACTGAAAATAAAACATTTGGATGGATATCCTTGGAACCAGGTGGGAGATGGGGACTTAGAAGAGTTCTTCTCCCTAGGGAAGGTCTTTATGGACAAATGCTGGAAGAAGGAAGAGTTTTCTTTTTTTTTTCATTTTTTAAAAAATTTAATTTAGGGGCGCCTGGGTGGCTCAGTGGGTTAAGCCTCTGCCTTCGGCTCGGGTCATGATCTCAGGGTCATGAGATCGAGCCCTGCATTGGGCCCTCTGCTCAGCGGGGAGCTTGCTTCCCCCTCTCTCTCTGCCTTCCTCTCTGTCGACTTGTGATCTCTCTCTTGCTGTCAAATAAATAAATAAAATCTTTAAAAATTTTTTTAATTTAATTTTTTTTCAGCGTTCCAAGATTCATCACACCAGTGCTCCATGCAATACGTGCCCTCCTTAATACCTACCACCAGGCTCACCCAACCCCCACTCCCCAAAACCCTCAGTTTGTTTCTCAGAGTCCACAGTCTCTCATGCTTCATCTCCCCCTCCAATTTCCCCCCACTAACTTCTTCTCTACATCTCCCAATGTCCTCTTTGTTATTCCTTGTGCTCCACAAGTAAATGAACCCATATGATAATTTACTCTCTCTGCTTGACTTATTTCATTCAGCATAATCTCCTCCAGTCCCATCCATGTTGATACAAAAGTTGGATATTCGTCCTTTCTGATGGAGGCATAATATTCATTGTATATATGGACCGTAATGTAAGGGCCTGTTTAGCCAGAGCGATGCCATCCGGTTAAATAACGACTTTGGTGTTTATACAGTAAAACTTAAACTGTCTCTGCCCCCCCCTTCCCCCAGGGGACGTACTTAAAACAAATCCCAGAAACTAGTCCCAGGTAACAAAGCCCAAATACAAGGGTGGGTCAGGCCAGGTGGAGGTATTCAATCAGTGTGGGCGCATACTGTCTCCTAGCTACCAAGGAGTATGGACCCCGCCCTTTGGGTGCATTTTGGGCGCCCATTCTGACCAAGGTGATAGGCTAGTTCAAATATCTACTATAGGGTAAATTGTAATTCAGTTGGTCACTTATGTGTGACCTAGCAGGACTGTGCAGCTTTCTCTCTGTGTTACAGTCTCATTGGCCACCTGTGTGTGGCCAGGCCCAACCACATGGCCTTTGCCCTTAAAAGCTAGTCTGTAAGGCAGAGGGTCGTCGCCTCTTTGCAAGAGACATCCCTGGCCGGTCAGTTTGATTCTTGATGCTTGGCAGGAAATAAAGCTTTGCTTGACCTTCGCTTTGTATCAGTCTCACTCCTTTGACCACGGACCCAACAATATCTTCTCTATCCTTTCGTATGTTGAAGGGCATCTTGGCTCTTTCCACAGTTTGGTGACTGTGGCCATTGCTGCTATGAACATTAGGGATACAGATGGCCCTTCTTTTCACTACATCTGTATCTTTGGGATAAATAGCCAGTAGTGCAATTGCAGGGTCATAGGGAAGCTCTATTTTTAATTTCTTAAGGAATCTCCACACTGTTTTCCAAAGTGGCTGTACCAACTTGCATTCCCACCAACAGTGTAAGAGGGTTCCCCATTCTCCACATCCTCTCCAACACTTGCTTACTGTGTTGTTAATTTTGGCCATTCTAACTGGAGTAAGGTGGTATCTCAATGTGGTTTTGAGTTCATTCTCCCTGATGGCTAATGATGATGAACATTTTTTCATGTGTCTGTTAGCCATTTGTATGTCTTCTTTGGAGAAGTGTTTGTTCATGTCTTCTGCCCTTTTTTTTGACATGCTTTTCTGTTCTGTGTGTGTTGAGTTTGAGGAGTTCCTTATAGATCTTGGATATCAGTCCTTTGTCTATAGTGCCATTTGCGAATATCTTCTCCCATTCCGTGGGTTGCCTCTTGGTTTTGTTGACTGTTTCCTTTGCAGAAGAGTTTTCTCGCTCTTTCATTTCCTTCTCTGGTCTGGAGTAGAGGGCAGGCTACCACTCGGTAGCCACTGTGGTCACTGCTCATCACTGCCTTGCAGGATCTCAAAACCTCCTTGCCTTGTTCTCCCTCTGTTGAGCCACCAGGTGAGCCCCCATGTATGATGAACCCAAACTCCACTTCCTCTGTGCAAGCTCTGGTGCTGCTGCTGATTTTCCCTGTCCTCCTCTTCCTCTCCTTGCCCCCTTCTTTTTCTCCTCCCTCTCTTCTCTCTTCCTTCCCTTTCTTCTTATTCCTCACCTATGCCTCACTCTTTCCCTTCCTCCACCCTCTGTCCTCCCTTCCCCTCCTCCTCCACCTTTTTCTTGTCCTGTCCTCCCCAAACCCATTTCTTCTGAGGATTCTGAAAAAGTGATGAGTGACAATATTTTTTTAAAAACTCTTTTTGAGATCACAAACTTGGTGAGAGCCAAGTTTGTCATCTATTTTACTTGTATTTCCCAGTACCTTGCCCGAAAAATACCTGGGGCTTGATTGGTCTGTTGATTATATTCAAAGCACTTGAATTAACATTTGGGTACTACTGCTTTGCAAACAAAGCTCAACTCTATGCCTATAGGGAACAGACTTGATGCATTTTACTAAAGAGCAATAGGTTATCTTATCTTTTGAAACATCATTATGACAAAGGAACAGAGAAAATTTTAATACACATTTAGAAGTATAGTGTCACTATGGCCTTTTAGTAGGTGGGTAGTTCATTCTTAATAAGATACTTGTCCTTGGAACACTAGGAGACCTGAAACTTACTTCAGTGTGTCCCTCTCCTCCTCCACAGTGTTCTAATTCCATTTCCTCTTCTTTTTATTAAGTTAAAAAAAAGAACCATTTTAAAGTGAACATTCCAGTGGCATTTAGTACATTCACAGTTTTGTGCAGGTACTGTGTCTGTCTAGGTCCACACTATTTCCATCACTCCACAGTGAAACCTCTTCCTCATTTAGCAGTGTTTCCCCATTCTGCTCTACCCCCATGCGTGGCAACCCCTAGTCTGTTCTCTGTCTCCATGGGTCCGCTCTTCTGGGTATTTTTCAGTGTTTCTTTCACTTGGCATACTGTTTTTTTGAGGTTTTTCGAAGCCAGCTTCTTGCTGACTCTCCCCAATGGGTGCTCAGCCTTGATAAGGCAATCCTACTATACTTTTCTCTGAGTGCCCCTTGCTACCCATCTCTCCACTAATGACTTCTCATTTTTTTTTTTTTTTAAAGATTTTATTTATTTATTTGACAGAGAGAGATCACAGTAGACAGAGGCAGGCAGAGAGAGAGAGAGGGAAGCAGGCTCCCTGCTGAGCAGAGAGCCCGACGCGGGACTCGATCCCAGGACCCTGAGATCATGACCTGAGCCGAAGGCAGTGGCTTAACCCACTGAGCCACCCAGGCGCCCATGACTTCTCATTTTGAAAAGACAAAACACTTTCTGTCCCGCAAGATCTTCTTTTTCCCATCAGTGAATCCCTATAAGTGGGTTTCCCTACTACATCTGTCCTCACACACTGTGCATGCTTCCTTCCTAACCCATGGACGATTTGTCTTTCTTTCTTTCTTTTGATCATTTCCTCCACTTGTGCTTTGGATCACATCTTCTCATGGCTTTTTACCTTCCCTCCTTCTCTCCTCTCTACTGGGCCCTTCTCAGCGGCATACATTTTGGTGGTTGCAGCTCTGGTCTGTGCATGGTCCCTGATGTGTCGTTCTCCAGGGCACAGATTCACAGCGGTTCTCCGAACTCGCTCTTCTAGTGTGCTCACCAGTCCCATGGCTTTAGCCACTTTTTAACTTTAGAGGGTTTTCAGCCAGTTCTCAGGCCAGTACACTTGAAGTCACCCTTGACTCTTCCTTGGATTTCACATCGAATCTGTCAGCAAGTTATCAGTCCCATGTCTCATCCCAGCTGCTTCCATGGTCTTGAACGCCCTCATCTTTCGTCTCTGTTACTGGAATAGTCTCCCTTCTCACTGTCCTGATTCTGTTCTTGCCTTTCCACTCTTCTGTAATCTATTCTGATAGCAGCTAAGTCACGCTTTCGAAACATATGTTTTATTGTGTCCCTCCTGGCTCACCACAATCTTGTTCTCTCTTTCGTCATCCACACTGAGTGCTGAAGTCTTACTGTGGTCCAGAAGACTGGGTATGATCTGCCCTCTGTCTGTCCCTCTAATCTCATTTCTTATCACTTTTCCCTTTGTTTATTTTACTTCAAACACATTGGTTTTCTTGCTGTCTCTAACATGCCGAGAATGTTTCCATTTATGGCCTCTGTGCTTGCTGTTTCTTCTTTCCTTCTTCTTCAGATGTCCTTCCTTCAGCGATCTGCTTGTTTCACATGCTCCCTTCATTCAGTTCTCTTCTCAGATGTCCCCCCAGCTAGGCCCTTCCTGATCCCGTCCACCAGATCTCAAATACATCCTGTCTCTCTCCATCTTCTTGTATTGGGTTTACCTCATATCTTGTGTCCCTCCACCCCACCAGAATTCAAGTTCCGTGAGGGTGGGCTCTTTGTCTTACCCACTCCCATCCCTGCAGCATCTAGAACAGCGCCTTGCACACAGTAGACCCCTACTAGGTATTTGATGACTTGAAATAATGAATGAATATTTAGGTTATTTTGAGTTTTTTGAAACTATAAAGGAAGTGACAAGTGAGCATGGGGAAGAGTGATATGTGAGTTATTCTTAAGGTATATAGTGGTAGAATTACTGGGTCAGGGAATATGGAGAACTTCTCCTTGACTAGGTCCTGTCTAGACAGACTGTTGCAGTTCCCCTTTCCACCACCGTGTGAGGGCTGTCATTGTTGTACATGTTATCAGCACTTCAACATTGTGTTCTCAGGACCCCTTACATTTTTAAAAAAATTGTTGAGGATCCTCAAAGAGCTTTCATGTGTGAGTTATGTTTATAAATATTTACCTAATTAAAAAATAAAACAAAAAATTGAAGAATTATTTATTAATTTGTCTAAAATAGTAATAATGAATCTATTCATTATGTCAGTAAAACTAATACATTCTTATTAATATAATGTGAGAAATTAGTTTTTCTTAGACAAAACCAAATTTAATTAGAAACATGACACTGCTTTCCATTTTTGAAAATTTTTTGGTTTTTACCAAATTAGAAGACATCTGGTTTCTTATATCCACTTCTGCATTTGGTGTGTTACGATATCACATGTCATATAGCCTTGAGTTAAAAAACCATTCAAAAGCACAATGAGATACCACCTCATTCCAGTCAGAATGGTTAAAATTAACAAGTCACGAAGTGACAGATGCTGGTGAGGATGCAGAGGAAGGGGAACCTTCCTACACTGTTGGTGGGAATGCAAGCTGGTGCAGCCATTCTGGAAAACAGCATGGAGGTTCCTCAAAAAGTTGAAAATAGAGCTACCCTATGACCCAGCAATTGCACTACGAGTATTTACCCCAAAGATACAGATGTAGTGATCCGAAGGGGTGCGTGCACCCCAATGTTTATAGCAGAATGTCCACAATAGCCAAACTATGGAAAGAGCCTAGATGTCCATCAACAGATGAATGGATAAAGATGATGTGGTATATAAATACAATGGGATACTACTACTCAGTCATCAAAAAAAAAAAAAAAATGAAATCTTGCCATTTGCAATGATGGGAATAGAACTAGAGGTATTATGCTAAGTGAAATAACTCAATCAGAGAAAGAATTATTCATATGATCTCACTCATATATTGAATTTAAGAAACAAAACAGAGGATCATAGGGGAAGAGAGGGAAAAATATGAAATCAGAGGGAGACAAACTGTAAGAGACTCTTAATCATAGGAAACACACTGAAGATTGTGGGAGGGGAAGTGAGTAGGGAGATAAGGGAACCCGGTGATGGACATTAAGGAGGGCACGAGATGTAATGAGCACTGGGTATTATGTAAGACTGATGAATCACTGAACTCAATCTCTGAAACTAATAAGACACTGTATGTTAATTAATTGGATTTAAATTTAAAAGAGATTAAAAAACACCCTATACTTAGGAAAGAATGAGGACGAAAAGGCAAATCACTTATTACAACAATCATGATTTGGGCATCCACAGCCCTTGGAAGGGTTTCTGGGTACCCAGAGCTCCCCAGAGGTTACTTTGGGAACCTGTGACTATAGAGAGAGATGGGGCATTTCATTTCCATTTGCATTTCCCCAGAGGCCTGTGTGACTGAGCCTTTTTTTAATGTTTATTTCTTTCTTGCTTCTTCTTTCATGGATTGTCTGTTGGTATTTTTGGAGTTTAAAAAATTATTTTGGTTACAGATTCCTTGTTTAGAGTGTGCATTGCAAATCCCTCTCCCTTAGTCTATGGTTTCTAACATCTTTATTAATGGTGCTGTTTTCAGAATTCTTAAACATTAGTGATCTGTTATTAGCTTCCCATTTTTGTGTTTCTAGAGCATTTTTAGTACTCTGAAGTCAAAGATTCTTTTTTTATATTTTCAACTAACAGTTGTACAATTTTGGTTTTCGTATTCAGGTCCTTAATCTACCAAGAATTAATTTTCCCAGGGTACGTGAGGTCAAATTCTGCCCCATCATCTCCCCGCTCCAGCCATGGGTGTCCACTTTTGCCAGTATCATTTATTGGCCAGTAAATTCCTCCTCATTGATCTTTAATGCAGTCTGTGCCAGGGTCAGGTTTCTCTGCCACCTGTGCACTGTGGCTCTTCTCTTCCACTGATCTGTTTGAATGTCTAGGTCCATAAAACACTGAGTTAATCCTTCATTATTAGCTAAGTCATACAACTGAATATCAGGTAGGGCTTAACCCTCCACCTGCTTTGACTGTTTGGGGTCCTTTTTTGTATTGATTTGAAAATCAGATTTTTGAATATATGGTTTTGTCAAGTTACATACAGAATTGCTGGAATTTTTGTTAGAATTGTGCTTAATTTGCAGAATGACTGTATATTTTAGAAAATCATTTAAGCCTTATTTAATATACTGTATGCTAAAGTAGATTCCAGATATATCTAATAATTCAGCTCTCTCTTATATCAAAACTAAAGAAAAAAAAACCCTCCCTTTCTTAAAAACAAAGCAAGGCAAGAATGGACAAACAGAAAAAATAGAAAAAATATTTATCAAATCTTTGGAGAAGACAAGAGTCTAACTTTAGAAATTCTGGGAAAACAGTCTCCCAAGACCAATTTATGAGTTTGATCACTGTAGGTTTGTTAATATCTATATGTTAAAAAGAAACAAAAATTAAATCCTGAAGTAGAAACATTGTTTTCACCAGTATGGCAAAGGTTCATCTCTCCTATATAAAGAGTTCATCCCAACTGATAAGGAAGCAGATAAAGAACAGTTATAAATTTTACCATATTTGGTTAATAAACATAAAAAAATTTTGTGTTCATTGAAAATAAAAAAAAAAAAGTAAATGAAAACCATGGCGAAGGATGTGTTTATCCATTAAAAAGAATATTGTTGGTATGGATATAGGAATTTTTTCAGTTCCATACACTGCTGCTGGAAGTCCAGATTTCCAACTTTTAAGGAAAACAGTTTGTTAATAAGTATTAGATACATTAACCTTTTTCATTTTCTGATCCAAGAGTTCTCCTTTGGGAAATTTATGCTAAGGTGGTAGTTAAAAATGTGCAAAGTATGCCACATAAGAAGATAACTCTTGCATATTCCTTTTTAAAATAAGATTTCAGGGGCGCCTGGGTGGCTCAGTGGGTTAAACCACTGCCTTCGGCTCAGGTCATGATCTCAGGGTCCTGGGATCGAGTTGCGCGTCGGGCTCTCTGCTCGGCGGGGAGCCTGCTTCCCTTCCTCTCTCTCTGCCTGCTTGTGACCTCTCTCTGTCAAATAAATAAATAAAATCTTTAAAAAAAAATAAAATAAGATTTCAGGAACAATTTAAGTATTCACCTGTGGGATAAAGGTTAACTAAGGAATATATACATAGATTATAACATAAGTATTCACAGTGATTTTGTAGCTGGGGCTCAAAAGTGCAGGAGCCCCTGGTGCCCAGGGTCCAAACAGACTAAGTTCGGCCACTGGCCGCTGACAAAATCCAAAGGCAGAGAGACCAGTGGTTGTGAAAGAAGAAAGGGATTTATTTCAGCGAGGCCAACATCGGGAAGACAGTGGACTAGTATCTCAAAGACTGTCCCCGAAGTGCTGAAAAGTCTTTCCAGGTTTATATAAGGAAAATGTGGGACAAAGGTCGACATGTACTTGCAGGTGGGCAGTGAAGGTCAAGCCAGTCATCGTCCTGGAGTCACGTACACAGGGACTTGCTGACTCAGGGTGGTCCTTATTGCTTGAGGGGGTAGTTTCGCTTCCCATCTGGGGATGCTTTGCCCCCTGGGTCTTTTGCCTGACTTCAGAGATACACTTGAAAGAACTTAATCAATTAGAAAGTTTGAGGTCAAAATGGAGGTAGTGGAAGCCCTCTTTCAGTTTTATTAAGAATGACTTAGACTCATACTATCCAGTTAATTGGAAAAGCATAGAAAATTAGAATAAATTGACTTCATAATTAAGGCAAGCATCTTGACAAAATAAAATTGCAGTCCTAGTTTTCCTGTGGTTGATTTGTTTATTTTCTCTTCTCTTGGTGTCAGTGTTAGTGACTTCTGAGTTTTTGAGGCCCCAGAATGTTGTGGGATGATTTTGTTGGCTTTATAGCTACCACAGACATACAGATAGGACAGGAAATGCCATTGTCATTTTAGTATAAAGACATGAAAAGTTCCTACAATTTTTTTTTACTTCAACTAAATTTTATGTAAATAAACACACATACACACATATCACCACTAGGCCACCACAGTCAGAACATCCCATTGCTGTATTAATACTTTGCCACGTTTTTAAATTTCAGCTCATCCTGGTGTCCAAAAGGTGGTGCTAGTATCATCTGCATCAGACATTCCTGTTCAGTCTCCTCGTACTTCGGAAATTTCAGTTCCTGCTGATCTGGATAAAACAATCACGGAGCTAGCTGACTGGCTGGTCCTGATCGACCAGATGTTGAAGTCCAACATTGTCACCGTCGGGGATATAGAAGAGATCAATAAGACAGTTTCCCGAATGAAAGTAAGTACATCGTGTTGAGGCTTGTCAGGGAAATGCCACAACACAGAAACAGACAAAATCTGTTTGGATCTCCTTTGTTTGTCCTAAACTCTGGGAGAATGGGCTTTAAAAAAACTCTTTATCTGTCAAACCGCCATGCTGTGTTTGCCTGGCTCCGAGGAATAAATCCTATCTTGCCTTTCCAGTGTGTTGGTGAGATGACATTTACCAACATAAAGTGAGGGGCTCAGTGTATTTTAAAAATCTAAAACTGATACCATACAGTGAGGCACATCAATACAAAAGTAAATTCGTGTGAGATTTAATACTTCGTGTGATGTGGGATATTTTCCTGAAGCACCTTTTAAACTCTTTCATAATGAACTTATTTAATTGCTGATTTTAGAAGTGAGAATTTCCTGATTAGACTCTAGTCACTATACGTACACCATCTAATGTAAATTTTCAGTATTCATTGTGTACCAGGTTCTAGGTTACGTGTTGCATAGGGATACCGAAAAGAACGTACCAGATAGAAATTGGAAATATACCATAAAATAATAACAGTAGCTATTGCTAACTTTTATTCAGTGCTTAATATTTGCTGAGTAGTTTTCTAAGTATTTTACATGTTATATGTCATTCATTTTTTTAATGGTCTTTTGAGGTAGGTATTAATTTTATCCCCAAATTGTAAATATGCCCAAGGTGAGGTAGAAGCACCAAATGTACCTAGGTAGACAAGTTGCTACAGCAAGACAGAATCTGAGATAAGCTGTGAGATAGGTCCAGACCACCTGTTAGGGGAGCCACAGTGAGAAAGGAGTTTAGTTCACAGTGGTGGAAGGCAGACCACGTGGGATTTTGACCTCTGGAGATGAATGACATTCCTGATAGAGGGAACAGAGTGAATAAAGGCATGCAGCAGGGGAGTGTGAAGGATGTTGGTTCAACAATTTTGCAATAAAGAGGTGTAGTGGGAAGTAAGGTCGCAAAGACAGGTTCAAGTTCACTTTGGGAAGGAGCTCATTGACCATGTTTTACGCATAGGCCCCTTGGGGTTTTAGTCTGTAGGCAGTTGGCAAGCATCTTATCCCCCTTTTCTTTTCCTTTGTTAACGGTGGCTGCGAAGTGATTGATAACAGTGCTCGGCATTGATGGGAAGACTGGGATGCTTTTTAGTGCTTAGGATAGATTGGAGGCAAGAGATGCTTAAGGCAAGCAAAAGAGCCCTTTCTAAGTGGCTAACATGATGCTATTGCAATTAGCGGAAATAAGGAATAGAAGAAATGGGCTGTGGATGAGGGTTTAAGTGATTTAGTTTCAGATGTGTTATGTTGAGAGGTTCTTGGGCCATTTAGAAGGAAATAATCAGCCTTCATTGAAATGTCTCTCTGGGATTCAGGATTAGAAGTTGTGAATAATCCATTTAGAAATAATATTTGACATTTTAAGGCTAATTGAAATCTGCAAAAGTAGTGAATTTAAAAGAGGAAGGGCTGGGAGAGAATCTCTGGCATCATGTTTGTACTTACTGGAAATTGTGTTTTCTAATTGTTACAGTTGTTTTTTAGTTCTATGCTTAAAACACACTATATTCCTAATTTTTATTTTTTATTTTTAAAGATTTTATTTATTTCAGCCAGAGAGAGAGAGAGAGAGAGCATGGATGGGGGAGAGGAACAGAGAGAGAAGCAGTCTGCCAGCTGAGCAGGGAGCCCAATGTGGGGCTCAATTCCAGGACTCTGGGATCATGACCTGATGAGAAGGCAGACATTTACCTGACTGAGCCACCCAGGCACCTCGATTCCTGATTTTTAAAACTTTTTACCCGCCTAATTGGTCCTGAGACAAAGTCTCTAGAGCAGCATTTTTCTTGTCTGAGATTATTTAATTTGCAGTTACTCCAGTAGTATCTTTTGAATGCCTCACCCCCATCCCTGTAGGTGACATTAGTTTGTGTGTGTGTATCATGTAGGGCAGACACCCAGGGTGTCATCAGAAGTCACTGCTAAGGTTTTCAGACCATTTTCTCTTAGGGATTTTTCTTCATCGAATCTCCTCAGACTTGATATAGCCAAGCTGTAGGGTTTCTATTATTTCTCTTTGTGAAAACAAAAAACAGAGTAAAGTGCCTTGCCAGGTGACCTAGATGATAAGTGGCAGAGCTGAGATTTGAACCCAGGACCTTTGACTTCAAATCTTGCTCTTTTCTGCTGTATTGCTGATGCCTCACTATCCTGCATAGGAGGAAAACAACAATTTTGATGTCAGCACACCAGTTTTGCTCTTTTAGTAGTACCCTTAGGTAAGGCTTATTAACTTATCTTAGTAATCATTTTTTCTTAACAGATCACAAAGGCTGACTTAGAACAACGCCATCCTCAGCTTGATTATGTTTTTACATTGGCACAGAATTTGAAAAATAAGGCTTCCAGTTCAGATGTGAGAACAGCAATCACAGAAAAATGTACGTTAAAAAAAAATCATGTATCATCCTCTTTCTCTGAAAATGATAACACACTTTATGCACAGATTATTCAACCAGAAATTAATATTATTTGATATTTGATACTCTATTAATAAGTACAGTTTTCCTTTGATTTTTATTTTTTTGTGAACCTCGTTACTGTTCCCATATGCGTTCCTTAAAGTGTTAACATTATTACTTTTAAGTTTGTTACTGATACATTGGATTCTTTTTTCTTTTAAGTTAGAATTTCTTTTATTTTTAATCTTTCAAAAAATATTTATTTATATTTTGGGGGAGACAGTGTATCCACGTGCATGAGTTGGGGGAGGGGCAAAGGGAGAAGAAGGGAGAGAATTCCAAGCAGAGCCCAGAGACCAACTCTGGGCTTGATCCCAGGACCCTGAGATCATGACCTGAGCCAAAACCAAGAGTGGTATGGTTAATTGACTGAGCCACCCAGGTATTCCAGGTCAGGATTTCTTTTAAAGGAATCAGAAAATAAAAGTTAGAGAAAACATTGGAATGCAAAACCATGCTTCCGTTTTGATTAATTAATAAAACCAGATCTTGCTATTTCTTTTTAGCTTCTCTTCTTCTAATCCACTCCAAAAAGAATTTATTGAACAACACATTCATACCTATGGGCCTGGTACTAATTTTGGATTAATTTAGTTTAAAGCAAAATAAAATAAGACAAAAAATAAATGTACAGAGCAACCATATCAAAGATCCATTTCTTTTGCTTTCTGACTTAAGAGTGTCTGTTAAATCTGTATGGTATATGAAACAAAGTCTAAAACCATAAAAGACTCAATCTCAAAAAACAGACTGAGGGTTGCTGGGGGGAGGGAGGTGGGGATATGGACATTGGGGAGGGTATGTGCTATGGTGAGTGCTGTGAAATGTGTAAACCTGGCAATTCACAGACCTGTACCCCTGGGGATAAAAATACATTATATGTTTATTAAAAAATAAAGAAATAAATTTAATATTAAACAAAACAAACAAACAAAAAACCAAAGTCTAAATTCTCAAAAATGTCATGGAGGGATGGTCGCAGCCAGCTTTCATCATTGCCTCTCCCACATAGCCCTCCACCCATCTGTAGTTATTCAAATAGATAATATTTAAAATGTCCTGGCAGTTCCTAATTATTTGCATGCTTTTTTTCCCCCTGGCCTTTTCTCTCCCGGTGAAATCCTACTCAGCAGCTAAAATGTCACCCCCTTTGTAAAGTCCTTCTCACCCTCTACTAGTCCCTAGTGAACTATATTTTCTATCTTTAGTTCCTGCTGTGGCTTTCCCCCGATAATGTCATTGTAGTCTCACAGTTAGTTTAATTTTCTCTTCCATAAATGGTGGATATTCACCTTTCTGGCCCTGGAGCCTCCTACAGTGTCCAATATAACTTAAGTACTTAATAAATATTTGTGGCAGACTGTAAACTGGACGGTATTTTATTACCTTGTCTAATATTTCTGAAGGGAAGAAAGTCAACTCTTCCTCCTATAAAAAGTATGTTTCAATTTTAAAATAAATGTGGCCACAGCAATGTTATTGAAAGAGAGAAGTTAGAGAACTTTTAGTGTCTTTCAGTGTTGGTTTATTTTTACTACATAAGCCATTTTCCTTCTTTCTCCCTCTTGAAAAAAAAAGATTTATTCATTTATTTGAGAGAGAGAGGAGGGTGAGTACAAGCAGGGAGAAGGGCAGAGGGAGAGGGAATCTCCAGCAGATTCCCTGCTGAGGGCTGAGCATGGAGTCTGATGCGGGGCTTGATCCCGCAACCCCAAGATCGTGACCTGAGTGGAAACAATCCAAGAGTCAAATGCTCAATGTACTGTACCACCCAGGTGCCCCATCCCTCTTTTTTTTTTTTTTTTTTTAGAGATCCCATTTATCTACCTGACAGATAGAGATCACAAGTAGGCAGAGAGGCAGGCAGAGAGAGAGGGGGGGAAGCAGGCTTCCCACTGAACAGAGAGCCTGATGTGGGACTCAATCCCAGGACTCCAGGATCGTGACCTGAGCCGAAGGCAGAGGCCTTAACCCACCGAGCCACCCAGGCACCCCTGTATTTTTTTTTAATTGATGGGTTGCTTGTGCTGGACGCAATTCTGGAGTGATTCCATTTCCCATCACAGGCCAGAAAGGGCTTCTTTGCTTTAGCGACACCAAACCATTTACAAAGTCTTCTCCATTTTGCTTTCTCTACTATCTTATTATTATTATTTTTAACCACCTCCTATTTGTCCAAAGTTTCTCTTAAGGTTTTTGACAAGACTTTTCTTTCTTCTTCTGAATATGTTCCCTTTCCAATTTAACTCCTGCTTTGTTTTCTCTCCTTTTTTATTTGCATAGAGGCTGCATAATCTTTGTCATTATTCATCATATGAAAAAAATACTCTCAGCAGAAGTGTACTGCCTACAATAACCTGCTTTTAGCACTTATTCACAAAGAATAGAACTTGCTTATTTTTAATGATAAACCTATGATACATGCTCTCACTTGATGGCTTTCATTTTATTCAACATTAAAGGATTCTATTAGTAATAGCATTGGTCATTAGTACTTTATGTAACTTTTTAACTGACAAGTACAACATTATGATAAATTCGTTCTCTCTTTAAGTGGAATACTTAAGCAATCTATTTAAATTGTTAAACAATACAGCTTACAACAGATGATCTCATTGAATGATTTTTAAAAATTATTACATGTAAGTATGATTTTCAGTGTTCTGAACAATCTTAAATCGATCACTCTATGGTTTGCGGTAACCCTTTGATATCCCAAGAATTTTACCAATAGGTCCCAATACGACTTAGCTGCAATGTTATTTTATTGTTAAGTTAATGGCTTGGTATTTAACTATTGCTCTCCAGTCTGTGTGACATCCGAAGCATCTTCTAGAAGAATATTTTTAATTTCCTAACTACTTATTATCAATGGGTTGTTGAAATCATTCAAAGCTATCGTTTACTAGTGCTTCAGTTCAAGATCTTGAAGTATTCAGGAAGTAATTAACCAAAGGTTTAAGTTTCTTTAGGTCTCTCTTTAGCTTCATGTTAAAAATGAGAAGAGGTGAGAAAGGAGGGGAGAAAAAGGAAGGAGAGCAGACAGAAGAGGGAAAGAAAGAGAGATAGAAAGGAATAATAAAAAGAAAGAGGAAAAGAACTAATGTGGATTTTTTTATGGTAAAGAGCTACTCGGTAGATAGAACTTGAATCTAATTTGCTTTTAGTGTTTCTCTTGAGTGTATAAAAATACTTTCTTTTAGACAGGTTTCATGCGACAGTAAGACAAATATGAAAAGTATTCTTAAATAGATTATTTCCTTGTAAAATCTTGACAACCTTTGAGTATCTCCTTTGAGGATGACAAGTGACTGCATCTGTGTCTTAAAGTTCTGTCATAAAGTATTGTTAAACTCTGCCTTCATCAAACCACGATCTGTGAATATACATCAGAGAGGAATATATTTTCTTTATAATTTTTGGTTTATCCATAGTAGATATTTTTATTGTGAGATATTTCAGTGCATTTAAAATAGAATTTAATTCAAGATTCTTCTTCAAGAATAGTTTCACAGAAATGTGTTGGTTGTATAGTATGGCAGACATGTATTAAATTCCCTTAAAAATGTATATAGCAACTTGCCTTCTTTTTCTTTTCTATTTATAACCTTACTTATGATAAATTTGAAATCAGGTATTTTTTTCCCTTTGCTGATAGTTTCTGGGATTATTTTTGTATGCTTCCTCAGTGGAAAAGGTCAAGAACCAGTGGGACAGCACTCAGCATGGTGTCGAGTTAAGACAGCAGCAGCTGGAGGATATGATTATTGACAGTCTTCAGTGGGATGACCACAGGGAGGAAACCGAGGAACTTATGAGAAAATATGAGGCCCGATTCTATATTCTCCAACAAGCCCGCAGGGATCCGCTTATCAAGCAGATTTCTGATAATCAGGTAAGACTCATTAGATTTGTGGAGCTTTTTTGGGCATTATTAATTTACTGGATGTACTTTTTTGTTCTTTGGTAACTGTAATTTTTAGGACCCTTGTCATGATGTTTTCACCAGTGCTTTGAATATACATTGAAATTTATATAAAGAATTTGACCAGGAAGGTCGTTGAAAAATTTCAGGAGGCCTAACAAGTAGAGATATACCTGTATACCAGATGTGTTGCTCATGGACTCTTTGCAAATGGAGCACAACCATGAACCAGCCCCTAGAAAGAGAGTATTTTCAGTGTCTCAGGAACCCTCCGTTTTTCTGTCTTCCATGTCTACTCTGAAGCTTATTTTTATTTATGAAATTTTCTGAGATTTTCATTTGAAGCTAGTGTACTGAACAATTCAGGTAATAAATTTAGTTCCTTTTAATACTTTTATAATTAACTGTTTTATCTATATCATCAGAGTAGGTAACTTTTTTGATTGGTTTGAATATAAAGTTGATGATATTGAACATCGATGGTATTTTAAATTCTCTCTATAATTACAGAAAATGTTTTTGAATTAGAGGTTATAGTTTTTAGGTTATATTTTGGCATAATATTTATTTGCCCTTCAGAGAGCCTAAGATGAAAGTGTACATTTGTGTTGAATATATGGGAAACAAAATCTAAGACTTAAGAGCATGTTTTTATAATTCACACATGTAGACTTCCCACGGTTACAATTTAAAAATCAAGTGGCCAGGTGTCCTGATTTTGTGGATCATTTTCTGTGTTTTTATGACATCTGCTGATTGTTTTCACCAAATGACTCAAATATAATAATCAGCAACGCCCCAGGATACTTAACTAGAGGAATACAGTTAAAAGTGAGATGAATGCTTCAGTCATCTGTTATTCAGTCAGAATATTCATTTCTAAATTTTCTACTCAGACTCTAGGATAGATTTTTTTTTTTTCGCCAGTTGCTATAAAAAGCATTATGGGAACATTTCATTTCTCATTTAGATTTCATGGGGGGTATCTTGATCCAGGGGCTCTGAGAGGTGGAAAACCAATGCCTGTGGACACGCTCAGCATCAGTTTAGTTATTTAATAGCAACTCTTAGTAAACCTTGCTTGGCTGCTTGATCCACCCAAGCAGTTAACTTTGTCAACAGGCACCGTGACCCAGGGGCACAGAAGACTTCCATATTGTTGGCCCTTTTCCTTCCTGCCAGCATGTAGAGAGGAGCTCTGTAGTAAGTTCATTCCTGTATGATGCATGTTGCTATAAGGATCAGATATGTAGCAGAACAAAGGAAAAAGATAAATACTTTGAGGAAGTAAAGTATACTTCAAAGGTAAGATAGCCTCTTAATATCTGCTGTGTACCTGATCATTCCTTGGACATTTGCCTTTTTACTTCCAGAATTACTTTTATTTAAGCTGTTCAAGAGTTTGTCCCATAATTTGCTTTTTTCTTTTGATACTTGTGTCTAAAACTTGTTGAAACCTATGAGGAGAACCATTGTTTAGGTAGTACTAGTTACCGAGTGACCGAGTCTAATAATGACACCTGCAATTACACCTTAGGTATTGCTTCAAGAACTAGATCCTGGTGATGGTATTGTAATGGCGTTTGAAAACGTCCTGCAGAAACTGCTGGAGGACTATGGTAGTGATGACGCCAGGAATGTGAAAGAAACCACTGAGTACTTAAAAACATCATGGATCAACCTCAAACAAAGGTAACATGAAGGGCCTGGCAGGTAAATGCATGTAGGGGCGAGAATTTGATCGCTTTGGCTTTCTCATGGAAACATGCCAAATATGAGACAACCAGAAATACATATTTTTGTTACTTTTTAAAAATTTTTGTCCAGTGCTGGGTTAGTATCACACTTAGTACAGAAGGTATATTTATACATTATCTATTTGAATTTCTGCAATGGAATTTTTCCTTGAATGAATCTAAACCTTGCCAAACATCATTTTATGTGTTCAGATTTTCTTATGCCTCCTAGCATTACCTGGAATATATCCTGTAGTACACTGGGGGTAAGGACTGGTGAGGTATTTACAGATGCATGAAGGTGATGTTATCCCTAATTATAATGAAAATAGTTTGTGGTGCCTGGGTGGTTCCGTCCATTAAGCGTCTGCCTTTGGCTCAGATCATGATCCCAGGGTCCTGGGATCCAGCCCTGCGTCAGGCTGTCTGCTCAGGGGGGATGTTTGCTTCTCCCTCTGCTGGCCTCTCCCGCAGCTTGTGTGTGCTGTCTCTCTCTCTTTCTCTGTCAGATAAATAAATAAAATATTTTGAAGAAATAAAAAAAAATATATAATTAAAGTCATGTGCTCTTTGGCCAGGTCATCCTTCGTTGAAGCGGAGAATGCGTGGCTCCAGTGCCAGACTTCGGAAATATACTATGTGTATTTAGGGCTTCATCTAATTTGTTTTCTTTCCATCACTCTGTCTAGTCAGTATATTTGGAACAGTCTAAAATAGCATATGTATTTACCAGAGAGATTTTCCTGTCACTTGAACACCTAGGGTCTGAGGAACTGTAAACAGTGGTTAGCGTCTCTTTAAAATAGCATAGTTAAATTCATCATCAGGAAAAAGTGTTTACTTCTTGCCTAGTACAGGGAATGCCTGTGTCTAATGAAATTATGGTTTCACACACATCTTTATATATTCAGATATAACCACCTGAAAGCAAATTTGTATCAAAACGCATTTATTTTGGAGTGAATAAAATGGATAATACTAAAACACTTTATGACATATTACTGGTAATAAAGTATGGCCAAGCATTTAATAACCTCTTGACATGGAGGTGTTTTATACATTTTTAGAATGTCATTTTTAGTTAGAGTCTATGAAGTAGATTTTAGATTTTTGGGAAACCCGAAGACAAGAATTACGAGGCAGTATATGAGTGTGAATATATACATGTTGCTACATATACCTAGGATTCTGGAGGAACTAAGAATAGGGTAGCACATACAACAGTAAGGAGTAGTTAAAGCAGAAGATAGCTATTATCCTGCTCTTTCTAGCATTTTAGTACAGCTGTTTTGATCTGTTATAATAGCTTCCTTGGATACAGTAAGGATCCCAAAACTAAGGCCAGGAAGAGAGTGAATTAAAAACTGCTTTAAAGTATAAACTTCCTGTTATAGGATAAGTAAATCCTAGGGATATAATAATACAGCGTGGTGACCACAGTTAGCAAGCCTGTATTGTGTAATTGAACGTTACCAGGCAGATCTTAAAAGTTCTCATCACGAGAGAAAAAAAATGTGTAACCATGTGTGGTGATAGATGTTAACCAAACTTACTGTGTTAATCATTTTGCAGTATATACTTATATCCAATCATTATGTTCTACACCTAAAACTAATACATTATATGTCAATTACATGTCAATTAAGCAGCTTTAACACTAAGATAGTCCTTAAGCCTACTTTATCTGAGTGTTTAAAAAAAAATCCATGTGTAAGAATTATGACTTTGTTTTTGTTGTAAACGATACCAGAAAAACTGATCACTTAGGAATGTGAATGTGAAGCCTGCTTTATTTAGCACCTCAAATTCTTCTTCTTTTTTTTTTCTTTTGCTTTTACTTTGTAAATATTTTAAGACAGCCTACAGCAGTAGTTAGATTAGATGGAAGAGGCAATTAAAAATGAATTATATTCCAAGGTGATCTTTCATTTGTCAGAGTTAAGACAAGCACAGTGTTGCAATTTTATGATAGTAACAAGTCATTGTGCTTATTCTAGTTTCTTATTGCATTTTCAGGGGAAATACATCAACATTAAAACTTAGATATGATTTAGGTATATTGCTATCTATAAAGCAAGGAAAATACAACAAAACTGTAGCTCACAGGATCCTTTTCATGAGTGACAGCTGGGGGTTCTATGTATTGCAAGGATTTTCTCTTTTAAACACAGTGATATTTACAATTTTTAACTGTTTTAATTGGGGACCGTTCTAGAATATGCAAATCTTTCCTTGCCTTAAACAAAACACATGAACTTATAAGCAACATTAAAAAAAAAATTCTTGGCATTATTGTTGTAAAGATAGAGTCAACGAACTTTAAGAGCTTTAAGAGCTATCCACAGTCTTACACTGCATTTAAGCCAGTGTTTCTCAACATTTTTACATTATCAGCCCCAAAGAGCCTTGTTAGATCCCCATTCCCATGAAATTTTCATACCATGAGTATACTGTGTGTCTGTTTCTATACTTTATAGTTGTGCTTCATACATAAAAAGGGTAGATTTTTCCACTCCCCTCCCCAACCCTGCCCCATTGAAGAACCACTTCTCACCTCCATTGAGAGTGCGTGGTTTAATGTAAGGCTCCGAGGCTCAGAGACGGTGAATGCCATGTTCAAAGTCACATAGTGTGGCCAAGATGATATTTCTCTGTGCTAAGTTATGATAATGCTCTTCCTGCTCTGAGTTCTGAAGAATTGGTAGTAAATTTATTCAGGCTGCCATGCTTTGTGAGATTTTCTGCTTTATTTTTAGTGTATGAATTTTATTGGGTGTCTTCCCATTGTCAGGCTCTGTGCTAATCCCTTTATTTAATCCTCAAATCATAAGCGACAGGCAGCGTGTTCATCAACGCTGTGTCAGTGAATCAACTGAAGCAGAGGAAAGTTGAGGAGTGCCCGAGATCACACAGCTCAAAAGAGCAGAGCTGAGACTGATATCCAAACCTTTTTAACTGTGCTGCCAGGCTCTTACATCCTTTAAAAATAATTTGTTTTCTTCCTTTGTCATCAGAATGTCAGTGATGGCTGGTGACTGCTCTGCGTACCCGCCTCTTGGATCTGTGATTCCACTTACTGTTTCTTATCTGTGTCGAGTTAAGAAATCAGATCTGATTAAAGATTATATGGGGGCCTCTACTAAGAATAATGCAGCACTCTTCAGTGTATGTCCATTGTGCCTTCTGTAGTGGTCACAAAGAGGCCGTCTATGAGGGCTCTCTGAATCTTCCAGCTGTATTCGGTATATGTGTCATTGACAGCCAAATTGGGGGGGGGCGGTAAAGGGTTATTATACTTGGTCATGGAATAATGTCATCGCGGCATAATGTGTGAAGTGTAATACCAGCTTTCAAAGGAAATGTTTTGTATGAATTGCAATTGGCCTAAGTAATTTGGCCATTCACAGCTACAGGGCCTCATTCTCTTATCTCCGATGCCAAAATCCAATAGCTCTGATAACAGAAAGCTTTGAATTGACATGAGGCTGTTTATTATAGTCTTTATTTATCCTGCTTAGTATAAATAGCCTTGTTCCTAGCTGTAGAAATATTAACGTGTTTGCTGCCTCAGACCCTACTATGTGTAATATGTCATACAGATACATTCATAAGAATAATTTTTTATTGTGCAGAAAATTCTTAATTCTGAAACACAGCTGGCTACCCGCGTGTTGAATTCTGCAAACAAAAGGCCCGTCTCTAACATTTTTTTTTTTTTAAAGATTTTATTTGTTTATTTGACAGAGAGAGATCACAAGTAGACAGAGAGAGAGAGAGAGGGAAGCAGGCTCCCTGCTGAGCAGAGAGCCCGATGCGGGACTCGATCCCAGGACCCTGAGATCATGACCTGAGCTGAAGGCAGCGGCTTAACCCACTGAGCCACCCAGGCGCCCCCGTCTCTAACATTTTTAACTAACTGATGTACATTGACCCCTGCTCTCTCCATCTGTGCAACGTTTTCCCCCTTGTATCTCTTAATGCCAGGTAACATATTTTTTAGTGTAAACTGAGATGTATTGAAAGTTGAAAAGTGTTTGTAGTAACTTTTGAAGTGTGAATGCCTGATTTGGGTCTGAAGTGTTGGTCAGCCCCAGAGTGCCTATGTATATGTATATGTTAGTGTGCACGTATACACAACCTAGTTAACTATGTTGAGATATTGTAAAGGAAATGAGACAATGTAATTTTGTGTTATAAGGAATATCTTATACATTATTAATCACTATGTGGTGGGAAAGACGAACGATTCTCTGCAATGAGTCTGCTCTCTTTATGATGCAGGGATATGCTGTGAGTGAGGCTGGATGTGGGGCTGAGGCCAGTTTGAATAGGATCACAGGTAACATCAGAATCCTGGTAGACAGGGCACAGAGCTCCTAGGGGAACTTGAATTTTGCTGGGCAGTGATGACTGCCTGTTTGTGGTTTATAATAATAAATGTGTAGCGATGCTCATCGACTCAGAGGCAAGTAGAAAGAATGCAGATGGAAGATCCGGGGCAGGGGAGAGGAAGGGGTTGTAAAGGAGTGGACCCAGAGATGGCTCCTGGTCCATGATCGGGTCTCAGATGTCCCTTCCGCTGGGTGCTGCAGTCCCTCACTGTGGCTTGACAGGCGGATCTTGTGTTGACTTACAGACACTACTTCACTTTCGAGGTAGCGAGCAACTGTTAGAACCATCACGCAGTGACCATGGGCCTGGAGGTCAGTATATGAATGTAATGGATAAATATTTGGTGCTCTGAAAGAGTAGGATTTTGCCTGGAAGATGGGAGGACAATGGCCGGAAAATAGCAGTGAAAAAGCAAAGAAGAGGACCCTTATTCCAATGACTACCTGGGGCTTATAGGATCTGTGAGGAAAAAGAAAAAAGCATTCTTGAAAGTTTTCAAGGGGAACTGATGGTCCTAAGGAAACCAATTTCACTTAAGATAAGGTGAAGGAGTTGATCTGTGAT